CCCACCCGGCATTGGCACCCACCCGGCTGGGCGTACGCCGTGCACTGGGGCGCTCACGGCCTGGCGACTAAGCACACTCAGTTCACAAAGGCTCCCCCGTGTTGTTCTGCTAAGACTGCCCAGAAGTGAGGACTTCATGCAAATCATGATATTTGTCTGAACACCTCAGTTCCCAGGGCAGCAAGCAGGGAGTGCTCGGTGTCACTGAAATCCAGTGTCCACAGGAATGAATGGGGAAACAACTAAGGCACGTGTCGAAAAAACCCACAAACGACTGTTTTGAAATTTTGTCCCCCTTGCTTAACTGATACCGTACAGCTCTAGAAAGAAGCCTGTTCAAACCCAGGATCCAACATCCCTCTAACAGGCCCAGGCCAGAATGGCCCCACTCAAGCATCACTAGTAACATGAAGAAATGTCACACCCACGCAAATCTGTCCCTAATTCTTTACTGCTCAGTGGTTTGTCCAGTCCAAAAAAGTATCCTAAAGCCATTTGTGAAAACTGCTTGAATAAATATTAAGGGTTAGGTAAAAAGTAATGGCTTGGACTCACTCTCTGAAGTTCCCTGGGGTGCCAGAGACATGCATCTAACCTCAGGGACCATGTACACACACAACGGCATGCACTTACAGGATGCTGGCTCTCACATAGTCTGGGCTTAAATAAACCTCACAAGAGAAGGAGAAAGTCGCCCATGCTATCTATAGCTTTCCTACAGTAGTTACACCCAGCATAAGGGTGGGAATTGACAGAGCCCTAGTTTTAGAATGTAATGTCGAATTTACTTTGAACCAGGAGAAAAGATTCAGCTGTGCTTTGCATTTGCACCCTCGCTTACTGCACATGATTTTCCACTGCAGGCAAGCCTTGGGAAGTCATAAAGGGTCTCGCTGATGACAGAACAGTCAAATGTGTGCAAACCTAGCTGGTTTCTTCTTTTTTCTTTTTTGCTAAACAGCCTTATATATGTAGTTAGACAGCAATATAAAGGCAGTTTATATGGTTCCCTGAGTGGTTTATAATTCTGCCATCATCACTGCTTCCCCACGGGAATTATTTTTAAATTGCCTTTAAATAATTGGCATCTCCATAGAATTCTCAGAAAGTGATTTGGCATTTCTTAAATTCTAAGAACTCTCAACTCTACAGCCACAGATCAACGTTGCTGCTTGAATAAGTAAACTCAACACGTATGTGTCTAATCCTGTCCTCTGAAGTGTCTGATTTACAATGTGGCTAATTGCATTTTTAGCTTCCCTGGCACCAATTTCTGCTACTCCACAAAAGGAGCCAGTTTCATAATTACTCCATATCAACTCCATTGTTGGGAAATCAAATTCTCAAGGAACTTTATGGATAGCACACTCTGTCAAGGCACTCTTGTTGAAATTGCTGCCAGCATGATGTCTTCCACTGTTAGTTGCTCCTTGATGGAATTTAATAAATATTCATTGGCAGAATACAGTGTAATTGATTCAGCCACTTTCATTTTTTATCAGCACTGCAGGATGCCACAGCCTCTGCAGAAAATCTCCAAAGATTTGCCAAAGGTTGACAGTAAGAAGCTTTGGAGACTCGCGTGGTGAAGAGAAGGGAGAGAAACAGTATCTCTTACTGCCATGGCTAATATTCACTGTCAGGAGAAAAAAAGCTATATGGTTCTTCAGATGAGCAAAGTGCCTTATACAGCACACTTTTAAAATTCATGAATTCATGAAGTGTAATATTAAATGAGATGTTATGATATAAAAAAGCTTTATGATTAGAGAATATTAATGTATACTGAATAATGCTTTCCAATAAAAACTAGGATACACTGCATTAATATTTTTTTCTATTTATTACACAGAAGACTTTCCACTACTAAGAAATAGCAATTTAAGTTTATTTTTAGTATTCACTGTGCTAGACACAAGAAAACTTCTCTCTTTGAACTCTTCATAAAGGTTTTTAACTCCCACTACAGTATTCACACCGATATTGTGTTACATTTAGGATTACTGGAAGTCTATATGTTTAAACAAATATTGCATTTCTGCAGTCATATTCACAAAATTAGGCTTTGTGTACTAGCTTTTTTGAAGAAAGGGTCAGAACTGATTTTACATCTAATACGTCTTCATTAAAAAGTTGTCAAAATGCAGTATGTATTGTATTAATAACAAAATGCAGTATGTATTAAATGTATTTTCTGTATAAAAAAACAATTTTCTGCTATCAATAGACATTACATACATGCATTCACCTTACTGTTTCCTTCAGCTGCCTTTCAAATATGCTTCACCTTCCGAGTTCATTTGGGTAGCAGCCCTACTGCTTGAATCCAATTAGCTTGATAGCAAAACCATCACCTTGCTCATTTTCCACCCAGCTTTGTAAGAAACCTCTTTGTGGCACAAAAAGGAGCATACAGTGCCAGGCTCTGCACCTACCAGAATGTTCTTTTCTAAGCACAGATTTTGAAAAATATATGCTATAGATCCAATTCTCTGCTTGTAGACACTGATGCAAAAAAAAGTAACTACTGAATTAGACACTGGCAAAAGTGTTAAAATCAGCCATGCCAGCAAACTGAGGTATATACTCTTTTTATTTCTTTTTGATATCTGTTACGTCAAATTTACTTCCACTGTGAAGCAATATGAAGCAAAACAAAAACTTCTAAAAACTTCTTAGTATTTTCTTTCTTTCTTTTTTTGTCATTGACTTACTGGAATGCCGGTGAAGGTAACTGGAGGCGACTGCCAAGAGATGCTAAAGCTACTGCCATTGGGAGTGAATTTTGCTGACCCTGGAATGTTCACCGGAGGAGTGGCCTGTGTGAAAACAAAGATTTATTCCAGTCAGAAGAACCATTCCTCTTCCAAAGCATTGCACGGGATCTTTCACTCACTGAAACTGTACATCTACAAGGGACTTTCCGAGGTGGGAAAAAAATGCATACTGACACACATTTTTCCCATATGAGAGGGATAACAATGGACAAGCCAGTAAGGAAGTGACATATTTATATATCACTGTTCTTAAAACCTTTTTTAGGGAAGGAAAGTAGCTCCTTTAAGAATCCGCACAAAACCCTTAAAAGCCAATGTGATCAAAAACCACACAAAATCAAACATAATACACAAATCACTTTTACAATAATACCAACTAGCAGAAAAAAGTATTAAAAATTATCACCAGTTCCACAGCGACAAACAAGGCAGTATTTAAGCTGATGGCAGCTGGTTTAAATAACTGAAGACTGGCTGATGAGACTTCTTGGACAATCGGGTTAATGAACAACAGTAAGGGCTGCACATTTCTTATTTATAGGTTACTTTATGTTTATAAATGTAAGCATCATCCTAATTAAGACAGGCATTCCTTTTAAAAACAAGGAACTAAAAATCACCCCTGGGGATTTAAAGAACAGCTATTAAGAGACTAAGCTAGAGCAAGTACCTGAGGGGCCGGATCGCTGGGCCCCCTAAACTCCTGTCATCTTCCCATCCAGGCTGTGCTACCCAGCACTGCCCTTCGGTACAACACCCAAAAATCTAGGCTCAGACCACTGAGCCTTTTTTTTTTTCACTGGGCTATGAGCCCACAAGAATTCTTCCCTGACCCTTTTTGAATCCCATTTAATTTACAGAGTTGAGGAATTCATACTTTGCAGTTACCCTGCTGAGCAGGAGTGAGAGCAGCCACCATGAACACAGGCTCCCTTTGACTCTTGAATTTTGAGATTTCACCACAGAAAACAAGGCTCCTTGGCTTAAACTTAAAAAGACCTTTCTATTAAAAATGAGCTTTTACTTCTGCCTTTCGGTTGCCTGCACCTGACAAGTGAATACTTCAGTAGTGTTTGTGTTTGAGGCTGCTGAAGTTGTCTCACTGCTTCAGGGAAGACATCACTCCCCTGAGCCACCAGGCAGAGAGGAGTTACAACAAATTACAAGCTGATAGTCCCCATTAAAGATAATCTTCAGAATAAACAAGTGCTGAACCAATGCTCTGGAGACTCTCCAAGGAAAAGAAACTGAGACCACTGGATGCCTCTGTCTATGGCAGCAATGCTCTGTGGGCTGCCAAGCCTGCTGACAGCTCCAAGAGAATCCACACATACATGTGGAGCAAATGTCCACTGGGCTCCATAAAATATAAAAAACTTGCTGAAAGGCATCAAGAAAAATTCAGATAATACCAATAGTGCTTCCTCACAACCTGCTCAAATGGGAAGGAGTCAATGGCCACAGTGCTCTTGCCAGAAAGAACTGGAGGTGGCTGGGTGGTCAGTGAGGTGGTTCTGCCTCCGCTCAGCATCCCACTGGGATATCAGCTCGAAGCCAACGTCAGCACGGTGACTTCCTCAGGTATTTGAGCAAGACTTGCAAGGCAAATCCTAGGTGCTAGAAGTGCCTGCCTGTAGTTCCTCTGTAGCTACATTTAACAGGTAGCTTAGTTTCATAATAAAACATGGAATATGAGGCATTTAAAATTGCTGCAGTTTGCAGGTGCCTAGAATAGCATGGTGTTCTTTTTTCAGTGCTTAAATATCTACCTCAGACATGATGAGACTTAGACAGTCAATCACCTTGTTCATTTGTTTCCCAGACGTGCATCTCTGCTCATCAAACACAGTCACCTTTTTCAGACTAGCGTTTTAGTCTGGTTTTTTATGGTTGCTTACCTTTTCCATAAGGTAAGCAACCATAACATTACAACAAACTGAAGACCTTCTATAACTCAATCTCACTTTGCTTAAGAGAACTCCATCTAATTTCCAATCAAAATATTTTAATGGATAATTTGTAATTACTTATTTGTGCCAACACTGGCCTTGTATCTGAAATAGTATGTGCTTGTTCTCTTCCCTCTCATGTTTGTCCTCTCACTTTTTTCCCCAAGAGCAATCTCAATTTCTGCTTTGCCCAAGCTGTCAGTCCCGGGTCTGGAGAGAGACAGAGGCCTGCTGTGTCCTCCCTGACCTCTCTCTTCACTCTGACCACCTTCTTTCTATTTCTTCTAATTGCAGCCCATCACCCTTGAACTTGGTTGACCAGAACTCTACTAAGGTTCTCGGCTGAAGTTATCTGGGGGTCTTGTACAACAGCATTAAAAATCCTTGTCTCTCCTACATACTTCTTACCCAAGCAAGCTGGCAACCTTTTTTTTGTCCTCCTTTCACAGCTATATTGTTGTCGACTTATGGTCATTCTGTGCTTGATTAATGAACACAGATTTACTCCTCACATAATTTTCTAACTATCTCAGTTTATAGCAGAAAAGACTCATTAGTTCCTAAGGTGCAGGACTTTGCATGTTCTGCCACTAAACGCTTAAGTAATGTAAGTATATATGTAAGTATGACATATAAATCCATGTTATGTAAGTATGACATATAAATCCATGTGCTGCTGATGTCTCCCAAGCTTGTTACCAGTAAAATTTATTATAGTATTTGTGTAGTACCAAAATGATTTAATGAAAGTGAGATCAGGCCTAAAAATAGGTTTTCATTCAACTCTACTAATAACATTCACTAGCGCTTTCAAAATAACCCACTGCTGTACTCCCTGACTCCCCAGCAATCTCCCCGACACTAAATTTAATCTCTAGTCTAACAAATACTGCCTACATGTTCTAAGATCAAATGCACTTCTCGAATCCAGAGGCATTTGTCCTACTGCATTGCTGCTTTGTTATTTACAAAGCTGCCTTGTCCAAGGAAGACGTTAAACTCTTCTAGTATAATCTTTCTTTGGGGTTCCTCCACTGCAGTTCACTGCATTTGCTGTACTTTCCACCATTTCTTCAGTTATTCCTCTAAATCTTTCCTCATCCATAGGCCTGATCACAGAAGAAAGACTTCCCTGCTCACCTTCCCTTTACTCTTTTCTTACTACAGGTATTATAGCTGCCATTTTCCAGTCATATGGGAAATGGCAAGTAACAGAAATGTGTAGGATTCTTGCAACACAGCTTTGGGTTCTGCATTTTTTTCCTTTTTTAGCAGGAACCCTGTGATGACTATTATTCAGCCTCCCTTATCTGAGCTCCTTGTGGTGTGAATTCTGCCTTTTCAGTCTCAGTAATTTCCACTTTCACACTCTCATTCACATGAGAGATTGTCTTCCTCACTACATTGCTATTCAGCACTTCGTTTTAGTTTTGATACAGATAAGATCAGAAGTAAAAAAAGGTTGGAAATTGTTCACATGGCTCACTCCAGAAAGCAAACTGCAGGAAATACGGTGGTATTAAAGGTGCTGTTGTCACCTGTTCTTCTGTTCCCTTTCACACAACAGCAGCCTCGTCTTGCTGCCTCACTCCGAGAGGCACGGCTTAAGCTAGTCTGAGAAAGTCTTGCTCCTAGCTGGCTTTTCAAGTCCCCAGGTTGGTGTTCCACCCAATGCAGCTCCCACTTGAGATGCCAAGCTTCCACCCATGCCTTCCGCCATACATGAGAGCCTAAAACAAGCCTGTGAACTCTGTGTGGTTCCCACTGCCCATTTAGTGGGTCTGCCCCAGACATACAACAAAAAGGTTTCAACTGCACAATGGTGCACACAAAATTCTTGTACCTGATAAACTTTAGAGTTCAATTCCCTGTTGCATACGCAGATTATGGGCCACAGTACTTCAAAGTCTCTACTCTTCTTTTCTCATACAGTATCCAGACCAAAACCTGTCCAATTTTAGTGAGCTTTTTACATTAATGCTTTTTGTTTGGACTTAGAAGTTTTTGGAACTGTGCTATTTGGATCTGATTGGATTTTTGCCATTTGCAAAGCATTACCTCTAAGAATAGGAGGATACCATATATGCCTTTTCGTTCTTCCTGCTCTACTTCACATATGCAAGCTGACATCTCACACTGTACAAATAAAGGAAATTAATTGCTCCTGGCATCCCTTAGCTACTTACTTACAGACACATGCAGTACAAGCAGAGCTGAAATGAAGACTCTGGAAGGATCTGGCTGACCGAATGAGAATTTCTACAATACAGGAGTCCACATGTGAGCTACATCACCTCGGGCCTTCCTTATGGTCAGGGCCTTCCTTATGGTCAGTGCAGAAATAACTGGTGCAGGCAGTGGGATACATAAAGCAACTCTTCTCACCGTGAAGTATGCACCTATGCGTGGCTGGATAAACAGCATCCCAAAATCCACTGGCTATAGTGGGAGCACAAACAAGCAACTAGCTCAGAACTGCACATCTAAATTTAGATGAGGCGAGCCTCTTGGGCTGCCTTGGAAACTTTTCAACCCATTAAAACTAGACTTGGCTTTTTAAAACCCAAACATTGTGACCTGACGTTTCTTTATACATTACTGACATGGGTGTGATCAGTGAAGCTCACTCCCACTGGTGTTACCTGGTAAGCATGGTCCGTGTGTACGAGGTAGAGGTTGGTGGGAGCTGAGCGGCTCAGAGGCGTCATCAGTTTAGTCTCCGTTTTGGCACAGGAAGTTTCAGGACGGATTGTGTCTTGGGTGGGAAAGGAAGGAGGAGATGCTAAAGATGGAGAAACTGGGGAAAGACTGCTTAAGCCATCAGCTACTGAGTCCGTGTTGAGCCTGATTTCTGTATAGTAAAAATCCTCCTCTCCATCACTGTAGTCAGACTCTCCTACACGTCTGTATCAAGGCAAAGAATGAAGGACTGATTACATAGAGGCAAAAACCCAAGGTAAATTTTAAGTTCTAGAAGCATGAGCAAATACATTCGTATTGCCAACAAATATTCCCAGTTTCAACTCTAGCTACTTTATCAGCGTTCTGGCTGCAGGGAAAGTGGAGAGGAAAAGAAAATTGTCTAGTCTGAAAGAAAAAGAAGCAGGATTTTTTTTCTCTCTGTGTTCTTGACAAATTCTTTGACCTTTGAGTAGATGTTTAACATCCGTGCTTCAGCTTAAATATCAGCTTCTCATTCCTTACTATGAAAGGTAACAAGAATCTTAACACACTTCGACTCCATAAATGACAGAGCAGCCATTGAAGCACAGGTAGAGATAACAATCACAGTAAGATAGACCTCACTGATGTTACAGCAAACACCACGTGCTCTTATCACAGGTTACGTCATTAAACCAAACGCAGTTATGGCCACAGTTCACTGTAACTTTCCCTGGCATAACAGAATGAGCTGCTAGAAAACAGTCTCACCATTCAATTCACTCAGATAATAGTGAAGAAAGGACATATGCAGGTTGGTTTGCCAGTGCAGGGCTTTCTGGTCCTACTCTCCATGAGAAGACTTACTGAAGGAGGAGATAGAAAAGGTTTAACTTCCCCTGCAGCACTGGTACCATCTGCTGCATGTTTGTGCTAGAACTGAAGCAGCAGTACTGTCTAAGCGCTAGTTCCCAACAGGCTACATGTTATCTCCATGTCCAAAACAAACCAGTATTTTAGCACATTCATAATCCATGTGCTACAAAGGGGTAAATCAGAGCTCATATGTATTTTCTCCTGAATCTTCCACATGGGAAATGTGAAAGCCCTGAGTATCCTTCTACCTGAATGACCAAATCTGGGCTGAATGCTGCACCTCTCCTTTTTGCAGCAACACAACCCAAAATCAGCACTCAGCCAGTTCTTTGGCCTGCTTGCCCATATACCTCTACCTGTGGTTCTCTCACCACCTTACTCAACAGAACTCACTGAGAGTAGGCTCTATCAGAAGCACCATCCACCAGACCACAGCCAGTCACTCATTAAATGAGAGAATTTCTCTGGAAAAGTTATGACCTCCAAATTCCAGGGAAGTTCTGCTACTATTTACATCTCCCTCTCCCATGCCATGAAAAGGATGTCCCCATAATATAAAGGCCAAAGCAATATTCATAACTGCGTTTTGACAGATAGATTGTCTCCCTCTTTCTTATAGCCTCACTCTTCAGAGACTAAGCCAAACAGCAGTTACTATGCAGGACTCTCCTGAGCTCCACACCAGGCTACTCCTCATGGTCACTTACTTACATTTCCAGCACTGTGCAACAGGCTTACACAACAGAGATGCATTTCCACACACCTAGCAAGTGAAGCCCACGGGTCCCCACTGTAACCACAGAGGAGAGAGCGAGGGCACCCAGCAAATCGCACAGGAGACTTCAACTGCAAACTAGAGCTGTGGAACAACCTTGTGTCATACAAGATTCATTCACTTTTGCTTCTAGTCCCAGTAACATATGCATGGAATTGCAGCTCACTTTGGTTTTTTTTAGGCTGCTTTACGGTTTGGGATACTTTTTTTGGCATTAATTTGACTTGGAACTTGCACAAGCACCTGATCTGATGCAAAATTAAGGCTGGAAAGTATTCATGCAAGAACCTGAAACCTATTGTCTTTAATATGTCAGCCTGGACATGATGTGCAGATAGCACACATGAAGTAAATGCCACTGAGCTGCAGAGACTTTATGGAAGTGAAGTGCGACCTAGAGCTTTATTTGACCTTCTAGTCAAGTTCCCAAAAGTTCAGGAAATAAAGCACTTTACTGTTGGACTAAGCTCTTGTTCACCTTGATGCACTACTTGGCAATTTCCTCAGAAACTTAGGGATCTGAGACAGAAAGGCCAAGGACAATCCAGTTCATCTCCCCAGCCAAGTGCAACTGCTCCTCTTCTATACCACACCCGTTAGACTTCTGAAGAGACTGGTCTCTTACCCAAGATGAATGGTCCGTATGTGTTTCTGGATCCCTGCAGCTGTGCTCAGTACCTTCCCACAGTTTTTCCACAGGCATTTGAACATCACTTTCATGGAGTTCTGAAAATTATGAGTACAGCAACGTTAGTTGTACGGAAGATAGACAGAAAACCAAACCATCCAAAACATATACACCATTACATAACACTGTGAAGGTTCAGAGCCTCTAACTCTGAGTTTGTCCTGATGTAACAGTCTCTGCCAGCAGTGTCATTCTACTGACCTCAACAGAATCCCAGTGAAAAGCTGCAGGAGCAACATGTGACAGACCTCTACCTCTCTCTGCTCTTTGGCATGGCTTTTGCAATTGCAAGCTCCAGTTTCTGTCTCACCACTAAAGGAGATAGATAACATACAAATTTCCTGCACTTCTTTGGAGCTTTCCAAGGAACAACAGATGAGAGCTTCTCACTTAATGCAACGCATCTTCTTAAACCAAGATCTTCCTAAAGCAAACTCTTATGAATATTTCTGTTTGTGAATTTTGCAACGCATAAAAAATTACTGTGCCAGAAAACTGATTTCTGCAATGAGCATTCATTCACCCATGAACTGGCCAAGCCTGCTCACAGAAGCTTTGCTGGGACCCTTTCTTGGATAAGAGAATGAGAAAGCATTTGGATGCATTCAATGTTTTTAAGAGTATGTGTATAATCTCATTTTAACATTCTTTATTGGCCTAAAGTGTGTTACTTAAAGCACAGCTAGCAAAGCTGTAACTAGCCAAATATTTTGAAGACTGTGAAGAAAACTGGCCTTAGTTTAAAGCACAGTATGTGGTAACAACACATATGTTGCAGAACGGTATAGATTTTTTTTTAAAGTTAATTTTACCCTCAAATGAAAACTACTTTATAAATTTTTAATTTTTTAAAAAAACCTAAATAATTTATACAGCCTCAAAATAATTTGCTGTATTGTTACAGAACACATTATTAAAGAAAACATGAGGAAGATCTTAAAAATACTGTAGTATTATCCTATAATTTTAGTTACATATAAGATTAAATTAATATATTCATACAAAGCTCAACTGAAAAAAAAAAGGGAACAAGCGTATCCTTAGAGCTAAGTACACGCCTCACTGTGTCTCAAACAAAAGCTGACTTGGTGCTTTTTCCAATTTGGACTCTTTGGATCTGCATGTCAATAGATGGTAAGTTTCAGCATTTGCTGGAAACCTGATAAGAACCTGATTGTAAAAAATCTCAGACGATGGGCTTTTTAAAATACAAGTTGATTGTAGCAGCATGTTCTCAGAGTTACTTGGCAGTCTATTATCTCTTGTTTGCAAGTACGGATACAACAGGCTTCAAGATCTGAGGTACCTGGTCACACTGTTTGAATTTCTACTTTGGAATCAATGGTACATAAATTCCCTCTAAAATTTCTGAATCTGATAACACAACTACCATTCAAATAGAAACAGAATTCTTTTTTCCTAAAATGAAATATAATCCAGCTAGAAATTCTAATAGATAAATTTCTTAATTTTATAATATAATACTAAAACCATCGTCAGCTCAAAAACCCACCACCAACCATGGCGACAAGATGAAGACCATGCTTTACACCTTAGGAATTCTTATATGACATATATGAAAACATCCTTGTCTCTAAGATGGAGAGACATGGACTTGATGGATGGACCAGTCAGTGCATAAGGAACTAGCTAGAAGGCTGCACTCAAGGAGTTGTGATCAACAGCTCAAAGTCCAGATGGAGGCCAGTGACAAGGGGAGTTCCTCAGGGGTCTGCTCTGGGTCCAGTGCTGTTGTCAGCAACATGGGGGGTGGCACTGAGAGCACCCTCAGCAAGTCTGCAGATGACGCTAAGCTGTGTGGTGGACTCACTTGAAGGAAGGGAGGACATCCAGAGGAACCCTGACAGACTTGAGAAATGGACCAATGTAAACTGCGTGAGGCTCAACAAGTCAAAGTGTAAGGTCCTGCATCCAGGTCAGGCCAATCCCAGGCACAAAGTGGGGTACAGACTGGGTTGACAGTAGCCC